GTATGTATATCTGCCAAATTACTGACATTACAAGTTTTGTGTTCTGGCATGTGATGAATAAAGATCAAGAAGTTGGTTTTGCTCTATTTATTGATGTACTTTTTCATAGTGCTCACTCAGTATTGTTAACCACATCAGGCATTGTAAGGAAGTGTCTGTGAGGTAAACAATTTATTTGTTTCAATTTTCATCAAACTTCCATCCCTGGGGATTTGTGGAATATCATGAACCATTGCTTGCTTGATCAATATTACCAACTTTTATTAGTACTCTACAGTTAAAATGTCAAAATATAGCAAATTTCACAGTCGACAATCGTGTAGCTGCCACGGATGAGGATCATGCATAACAATAATAAATAAAAAAAGTGTGGAAGATTGAGTGACTGATTCAAATATATTTGTTATTTTGGAGAGTGACACAACATAAGTATTTAGAACTTTCTAGAATGCTTAGTCATGCTGACTTGCATGTATGAACTTTCTATGGAAACTTCTATAAATTTTCGTTAGGTTTTCCTGTTATGATGTAATAGTATCAAAATAGTTCACTGATATGTTGTAAGCTTCTGGAATGTTCCAGAATACTTTGTAAATGTATATAAGGACTTGGTCGTGTAGTAAAAGTAGTTGTTATTTTCATGAGTGACCCACTGTTTGTTAAGCAATACAAACAGAGAGAACTGCTGTGGAAGATTGTCAATTTCGAGGAACTTTTGAGAAAACTGTAAGTTTCTGTAGAGGTGAACTGAGATATACTTTGTAGACATAGTTATGATAGCAATATTACTATAAGCCCCCACTAGGAAATTATGAAAACACGGTGTATTTCCTACAAATAAATTCCCCAAGAAAATAATCTTTTTTTTACTTTCGAAAAAAAAGCTCCAAGAGATGTGCAACAGAGGAAAAGAAATAGTCTACTCACCGTGCCCTCAGCAGCCATCTTGAACATGAGCCTACAAAAAGTTATGGTCAGAGGTAAACGCTGTTGCTTGTACACTATATGTCCTCATACATGTAGTGTTTATTGTAATGTCCTTGACTCTTCGTGTAGGTTCGAAGAAAACGAAACAGTTGGAGATTTTTGACAGAATTTTATGTAAGACATGGCAGGTGGTGGAGAAGATCAAAGAAGATACCCTCGCAACTTAGAGGGAGTGCTGCAGTTTGCTCTTAATCATTCAGATGATCCCACGAATTCATCTTCCAGTGCATTCCAGGAAATGAGTGAGGAGGTACATGTTTCTTCTAGATTTTGAAGTACAATTCTCCATTTAGCCAGCATTAGCTCAAGATCTGAAAAGCGATTCTTCCTTTTTATCTACTATACATTGCAAGGCAATTAAGTGTGATATCACAGCAACACCCCTAAATGATAAACTTGTGTATCCTATTCGTTTTCTCTCCACTGCATCGGCTGGTATTGTGAGAAGTCCCAATGCAAGTACACCCTTGAACTCCCAAAATCTGATGGTTAATTTTCCCCTCTCGCTGCTGCAGATTTTCTCGTGAATTAATTACGAGAATTTGGTGTTAGATCAAGATTATAACTTGATTACCTGATAAGTTTGAGTATTCTCATGACCTGTTTGCTGAATAATGTATGGATATTATAGAGAGAAGTTACTTTTAGATCATTTCTGGGTGTTTAAGATGTGGTAGACCTTCTAGAGCCAATTTTTTAAAAAAAAAATTTAATGTCAAACTAAGCATTATTATTTTAACTATAGTTTCCTATAAAATATTGTAGTAAAATATTGAAACCAGTTATAAAATGTCAACATAAATAACTTCCAAAGAGTTTCTTGTAGCAAAGCATCCTGGTCCTTGAATTTAATAGTGTAAACATCTCCTGATTTTGGTTACACATAGAGATATTTGCTATCTGTCTGCATTTGAAACTACAATGCGAATGGAGCAAGATAAAAAGGAGAAGAGTCCGTGGGTGAAAGTAAAAAAGAAGCACAAAAAGTGAAGAAATTTGATGTAGAATGATGAAAGAGTCTCACTGAAACAGACAAAGGTTCATAGTTTAGGCAATCTTCGCTGCTTGCACTTGATCAGCAACCATTAAGTTCTGCTGTGGCAGGCATAAGTCACTTTGAAGACCCTCTCTGTTTACGATTAGGTCAAGTGAACACGAAACAGTTTTTGCCAAAGAGTGCATTTTATAACCTTTCCATTGGTATATAGTTTATGGTGGTTATGCTTCAAAAAGTGCAGCAAAGTTTTTGTTCACTCGCAAAGTTCTACCTTAACCTTAAAGGGTTAAGCCCAGGTACTGGTATGACCACTAGGGTTGTGAGGTGTATAAAACAGGCATAAGCACCACAGGATCAGAGCAAAGATATTTGTTCTACTTGTGCTTGTTTTCATGCATGTATTAAGTGAGAACGTGATGCTGTAGGCATAAGCATCTACATAAAGATGCCAACCAAGCATTTTGAAGATTGGTGCGTGCTTATGCCCATGTTACCCACTCCTTGATGTCAGTTTGCCTTCGCTTGTGCTTGTTCTTGTTGTAATGATGTAGTGAACATTAGGCAGTAGAGAGGAGGAAAGTTAAGTCAGTGACAGTTTAGACCATGAAATTGTAAGTGATCAGATGAATGGGTCTGAAAAGGTAGGTTAAGACTTGACAGCTACCATCATATTAGTTGCTATGGTTAAATATATATAGTTGTCCTGTGCAAAACTGAATCTCGAAACTAAATTATCAACTTGTGTGACAAGTAAGCCATCTGTTAAAATTAAAATGCAAGAATAGTCATACAGAGATACCTCCTTTATCAATCAAAATCATTGTGCATGTAATTTTTTTGGAATTGTCACTAATTAAAGGTGTTTTTCCTTTAAGAGGAGAGAATGGCTCCACGAAGCAATAGCATCTATAGTTGAGGACACAGACATCAAAAGAATGTTGAAATATTTGCAAATCTTGGAAAAACCTCATGATACAAATAATGCTGATGATGACCTTGCTGAGAAAGAAGATGCATTTGAAGAGTTGTCCATGATTGTTGAAAATTTAGATAATGCAAATGGTATGTACATGTTGTGGTTCAATTTTATCCTTGGTTCAAATTTTATTTTCCTTTGTTCTTTGTCATGTTAATGTATGATAATGAGTTTGAAACAAAGGAAAGTAAAATTTGAACTAAGGATAAAATTAAACTACAACATACACACCAGTGTAAAGCCATTTACTCCCAACTGTTGAATTTTTTACTCACTCTCACTGGTAAAAGAGTAAATGAATGTTACATAATTATGTAAGAAACAGAAAAAATGAAGTCAGCTCTACAAAGAGCTTAATAATCGAATTATCTTGGTCACAATTTGGCCAAGCTCTAATTCCAGGTAACCCTTTAAACCTTAATAATGACCACCATCAAATTTCTCCTTAAGTAAGGCTGCTGAATCATTCGTTAAGATTGCGAGAGTAAAGGAAATGATCGCAAACCCAAGAAGCTTGTCAGTAGATGATTGTATAGCGAAGAGTATGGAGAACAGGGATACTGAATTTAGGGTTTGAAGGCCAGTTTATGCTCAACTTGCTTTCACCAAAAAAAAAAAAAAAAATCAAAATTTGTTGCCTTTTTCGGTTAATAGACAAGACAGTGCAATAATTGCACTGTCTTGTCTATTAGCTATTAATTGTAAATTAGTCATCAGTAAAATGAAAGTAGGAAGCTGAATCATTATCATTGTAATATTAACCCTTTGACTCCCATGAATGACCAAGAGAGAATTTCTCCTTACAATATCCATACAGTATCAAGCAGACAAGTGAAAGGTATCAGTCAGAGGAGGATTAGTTGATCCAGTTCCAAATTCTCCATACTAACACTATAAGAATTGTGTGGCAGACAGTAAGGAGAATTACGAATGAGATCTTGGCAGGGAAAGGGTTGTAACATAATTGGTAAAATAAGTATGTTGAATAACACTTTCTTTGACAAAATGTTATGTCATTTAACTATGTTACAGTAGACTATTAAGTATGGCCCCTTGCTTATTGAAAGGTGGGATTACGTATGCTGATTCCATTATATTAAATGTAAAGGCTACCATATTTAGAAGCTCATGGTAACTCATTTTTCACAGATTTTCACAAGATTGGAGGCTTTAAGGTTATGATGAAATGTCTCTCAGGGGAACACAGGTACACCATGTAAAGTTAGTTCTTATACAAGTTGCAAAATGACCTCTGTAACACTGGTGTAGTGCTCAGTACCAACTGGGCAAAAAGCCATATGGGAACCAGTCATTTTGTTGGTTTTTAATAAAATGGTGAATTGGTGAATAAATGACTATGAATAGATATATATCTTATTAACCAAGCGTGAGGGCCATACTGGGAGGATGTCAGCCCAAGGTCTTGACAGTACGAACTGAGCGCAGCAAGGTCCGTACAAAAAAGACAGGGCCGATATTCTTCCAGTATGGTTCCGAGCAAGCTTGGTTAATAAGAGATTTATTATACGACTGAAGTTCAAAGGGACATAAGTGCAGTATCATTCGGGACCATCTGGGACAGTGCCCAGTCCAATACTGAGAGAATATTGACCGGCAATAGAGCATTTTGATTGGTTGATTTTAGTTATTGGCCCTCTGACTGCCCGAGTCGTGTAATAAATGAAAATCATGAATTATGTGAACTGCGGACTAAGAAATAAATGTGAGTGATCCTCACAGTAATGAACACTACTTATGCAATAGTAAATGTAATAGTAAAATTTATGCCAGTATGGGAGTTAAAGCCATGACCTCTGCAATACTGGTGCAGAGCCCTACCAACTGAGCTACCAAGCCAACTGGGAGCTGCTCATTATTTTGGTTCTTAAAAGGGATAGTGGAGTCACCTATAATGGTGTGCTGCTTCTTTACCTTCCACTGCACTATGTAATGGTATTATTGGTCCAAAATAATAGGACTTTTTACGTACTATTTACAATTATTGTAAAAATGAAAACATGACAGTAACAGGTATTAATAGTGATTCTGTTCTATTCATCTGTAGCTCTTTAAGATGGAGAGCAGCCGATATTATAGCAGTGTGTGTCCAGAATAATCCATACTGTCAAAAGGCAGCAATGGAAATGAACATCCTCCCAACACTTACTTCTTTGCTTGAAACTGACCAGTTGGATCAAGTGAGAATCAAAGCTTTGTATGCAATATCGTGTGAGTGTGACAAGCCTTTCAGGACTTATGATTGTTATAATTTTTTAAGCTTTTCAGCTTTTTCCTATGAAGGGCTAACGCTCAAAACATCAGCTTTCATAATCGTAACAGTGGCCAATTTACCATTTCAACTTTGTTAATATATTCAAATTATTTCGTTACCCCCACCGACGCAGCCCCTAACAGTTTCTTTAGAAACTATCAGCCTTTTTTCAAAAAGAAATCAAGTTAAGCAATAGATTGCACTTTCTATCAGTTAACAGGTGTAACAACCTGTACAGGATGTTGATAGAACACTCCAAAAGTTTCAAAGTCACAGGTCTCTGTCCTGTGGTTTACAATTGTTTTGAGTGTTCTCCCAACATCCCTTGTGGGTCACTGTGCCTGGAAAACAATAGAAAGTGTGGTCTATTGCTTTTATACGATAAAAATGCATGCACCTTAGTGCCAACTGATTTTCAATTGCATAGGAAAATGAAAATGAAATTTCATTTTGGTTTTCCATTTTTGTTTTTTTGTTTTTCGTTTTTCACTGCACTGTTAAAAAAGAAATGGGACTTCAATTTTCGTTTTTCGTTATTTGTTTTCATATGGAATTTGGAAAATGGATTGCAAGTCAAGTGGCTATCTTTAAAACAAGGAATGGGGAATGGGTGAATGGGGAATCTTTAAAAGGAGGAATCCAATTTCATTTTTAACAGCACAGCAAAAAACGAAAAACAAACATTAAAAATTATAAACAAAAAACAAAAATTAAATTTCATATTCATTTTCCTATGAAGTTGAAAATCGGTTGGCACTAAGGTACACACATTGATAAACTTCCTTTTTCTACCACTACAATAAATGACTGGTCTTTGACCAATCACAGTACTTTGGCATCTTAGTTATTATGGATTCTAAAATTTACTATGTGAAATAAATTTATATGAAATGAAATTTGGGTGTAATACCTCTGAGCTGCAGTGTATAGTTTAATTAGCTAAGTTGACTTAAAAAAATTTTACAACCAAACTACCATTTAATTGGCCTCACACAAATGTGTGAAACTCACAGAGTTTCCAATCCAGTGCTGTTTAAAAAAAATGAACAATCCAGTTTACCCTTTGGGTTTAAACTTTTTTGGCCAAAATTTTTGTTATGGCTTTGCCTAATGTGCTAGTAAGTTCCTGGCTGGGAAGGGGAAATCTTTACTGGTTCCCTCTATGGGATAAGTTTTCTTTAAGTTCTGTTCATCTTTACATCTTGCCAGGTCCCAGTAATCAGAGGTTGCTGACAATCAGGCCAGGACACAAAGGGCTAGCAAGTCACTGCAACAGATCTAAGAGGCAACATGTTTGAGTGTATTACTACAATTATTGCACTTATTCAGACCAATTGAAATTGGTACAGCTTGCTGCAGAGGCAAAATTCTGTTGCAGAGAAAAAGAATCCCATTAATTAAAAGTTATTCCATGTTGCATTAAATGAATTTTCATTGCAACTTGTCACCCAGATGTGTTGCAATGTCCTGTTATTTATTGTGTCAAGGCCTTAAAACAACTGAGATACATGTACAGCTTAGTGCATCCACCACATTGTAAAAACTGTGACAACATTCCATTGTTACTTCCTGACAAAATTACACATGCAATCTTTTATTCATAGGTTTAACGAGAGATTTCCCTGAAGCAGAGGAGGCATTTTTAAAAGAGGATGGATTTTCAATGTTACTACGAGCAATGCAAGCAGAAAATGAGAAACTGATAACCAAGTCTGCTTTCATGATAAGGAATATGCTGGTAACAAATCCTACTCATAAAGGTATTGTTTAGATGCCCCTGTTCACTGTAAATGCTCATTAATTCTCACATTTATGTATTAAAATTGATATGCAACTGCAGTAGTTTTCTTTCTGATTTTACTATCTTACTTTTTTTGTGTAGTTGCTGTTGTTTTATTGTGGACCAAGTTTTCTAAATTACATGGAAAATAATTGTGGTTGTTAACCTTGCGATGTAGCTTTGACCTGAAGCACCTCTTGCTTTAGGTAAGGTTATTTACTTCGTTATTGATTGGTTTGCATTTTCTGCAGAAACTTTTTTCAAGATGGGCTTTACTGAGTTGCTTGCTGGTTTATTACGGGGTCCTCAGAATTCTGCTCGTGTACACGTAATAAATCTGTTCAAGAATTTTGTGATGAACTATCCACCAGCCATAAATGAGTGCCAAAGAACTGAATTTGATTTGGAGAGACTTCTGTCGTCTATTAGTAAATCCAGTATGGAAGATGATCCAGTTGCACATGAGGTAAATATTGCAATATTTCTACTCAGAAACACTTCATATCTTTTAGTCTCCAGTATTAGTGGCAGTATGTTAGCATACATTCATTGGTGTATTATTCTCACATGCACTGCTGTTCTATGGCACTTGATCAATAAAATCGTTTTTATTGTAGGCATAGATTGCTAGATACAATGAGAGCAGGCAAAGATCACTTGAGTACTTTCTATTGCAAATTCATTCTGAGAATGCAGTGATTGAAGGAAGGGAAATGGAAATGGTGTCTGAATTTGTGAAGTCTGTCTGAGCTTTTTTTATTACTATTACTGAAAATAAGGATGTCCTGCAAGTCAAATGTCCTACATGACAGTTATCAACCTAATGACAAGCTTGCGGCTAATTTCCATATCTGACTATGACACCCTCAAGTGCATTAATGAGATCTGCAACAGGCATCCCACATAATTAAAAGGGAATTTTGATATGTGATGATAAGTTCAGTATATTTTAATTTTACTTTGTATGCAAGATTATTCTGTGTAATGTTTGTCTCATGATTCTCAAGTACAATTATTTACTACCCTGTTTTATCCTTTGGATTAAACATACAGTTACTGTTGCAGTGATTAAAATTCCATCAGTACCCAGCTTATAAAATTGATAGAATTTTTATTCGTTTATTTGTAGGATATGATCCTTGATTGCAAGGAATTGCTGAACATATGCTTCAACAAATAGAAGAATTCTCAGCCCAGTTCTGGAAAGAGTTTTAGATAATTTAATGTAAAACATACTTTCATAGTGCAGTAACTATTAGTTTTTGGGCCCCCATTCCGAAAAGCACCCCCTTTCTTATAAGGGCCCCTCTTTTATGAGTGCCCCTCTCAAATTTGTTTCTGACAATTAGTGCCCCTATTCTATTAAGCATTCCTACTGAGTAAACAACCTCTTATAAGTGCCCCTATTCTGTTCTATATGGCATTTTTGGTATTTTTACCTACATTTAAATAAAGTTATCTGGTTATCAAAATTAGAGTTGTTTCACAAATTAGGTTGTTTTGTCGGTAGATTTGAGATGTAAGAACAAATAGTGGTGCACAAATAATGAACTGTTTGTGTGATGTGGGCCTGATGTAGGCCCTTGCCTCTTTAATGTATTTGTTACAGTCTCCAAATGTGGTGACCGTTAGAATAGATCGTCACGCAATGCGTGACAAGCCCCCCAAAATAAAAAAAATTCTAGTCTTACACTAGTCTCGATCTATGCTCCACCTTTTAAGATCTATTTTAAACATAACTTTTCGATGAGCTCTTTATGCTGTGGGAACGTTTCAATCATCTTGTCTCTTTCGCCAATTTCTAAGTCTTCATAGTTAAACCCTGGCCCAGCTGCCTCACTGAACACGCAAAAGCCATTCTTGTCTTCAAGCTCCAAAGCAAACCACACGTTCTTTGGCACATGACAGTGCAATCTGGCTTTATCATCCTTCAGTGGGTCCCCGATAGTTTTCGTCTGGTATCTGCCATCCTCGTGTATCATGTGCAAGATGATATGGCTGCCTATGTGATGGAAATATGTCTCCCCAGACTTCATTTTATGCCAAGCGTTATTGTCTGATCCCCTCAGGAGAAGATAAATCACGGAATAGGCATCCCTCACTGGGCGCCCGGAGTCATCCAAGGGTTGGACTTTAGATGTTGCATTCAGGGATTCCACGTAATATCCTCCAAGTGGAAGCGGTTTAAGGTTCAGAGATCTTATATACTCGTCCGCCATGGCGGTCTCGTTTCCTTACTCATGTAATTCTCAGTCTAGTGTCCTTGTCCTCAGTCTCTCGCTCGTGTAGCGTGCATGATGCATATCATAAAGTATGGCGCACAATCTAACCCGAAGCACCAAAGTTGTAAGAGTTGCCCTGACGGATTCCCTCTCTTGTTTAGGTCACACCGGAATGTCTCACACACAGTAAATAAAGAAGACTCTTACGCATTCAGGGTGAGGATTTTCTCGAAAGAAACAAAGATTTTGAGTGGGGTAAAATATAGCACCATTTTATGACTAGAAATGGAAGACGAGGATGTAGTTTTGCCAAATTCACCCTTGCACAAGTACCTCAACGAAATCGGTTTTAATGACTTTGAAGACGCGAATGGTCAGAAAAAGCAAGAAGAACTTGGAAAGAGCAACCATGGTTCAGCATGGAGCTACAAAGACGGTCTCCCTCCGTTTTCACAGACCGTATTTGAGCTTGTTCGGTATATTTACAGCTCATCTTTGTCGTGGTTTGTGTTAGTACCCTCAGTGGATGATATTGAAACTTTCAGGAATGACTACATTGCGGCCGTCTATGAATCACAAACACTGAAGAAGGATGACATTAGGTTTTTATCCCAGTTTGATCCCAAACTCTTTGTTTGTGGCAAATCGAGCATGCACAGTGGCTTTGGCGAATGGAGATCTTTTGCTTATGGAAACTACATTTTGTCCTTTCTTTTGCTGGCTATTTCTGCGCTACTGGCAAAGATCGATGGTGTTGTTATTCCTTCTGTTTTTATATTTTTGGTGATACTCTTTGTGTCTGTTGCCAAAGTTTTACAGCGATATTTCTTCGTCCTTCAACACCGAAGAAATTTAGCTGCATTGAGACGGTTCATTAGGCAAACAAAACAACTGAGTCTCCTGGTGAAAAGATCTTTAAACCTCATTCAAGAAATAGAACTAACATTAAAAGGTTATACCATGATAGGCCCAATGATGCCTACATTTTTTTCAGAAGGTGGTGAAAACTTGACAGAATCAGTGATTTTTCCAGAATTAAGAAAGGATATTATGGAAAATACCGAGCCTGTATTGTTGTCAATACAGAATTCTGCTAAGAAGATACTCCTTCATTTTCCTCTCCCAAGGGAACTTGCTAAGATTTTTACATACTTTTCAACAGGATCCATTGGAAATCTGCATGTAGGAATCAAGAAAATTGTATGGGATGACTTGACTGAAAAAATGTCATTGCAGGGCTTAATAAATGTGGCATCATTACTTTCAAGCCTGCAGTCAGAATTCCTCAGTAGATTCTTGCTTTGTTTATCACCTGAAGCAAGTGATGGTAACTTAAATGAGTTATACATTAAACTCTTCAAAAACGTAGACAAGATATTTGGAATTTCCTCGAAAATGATAGAATGTTCTGTAACATCAATCAAGAGAAGTTATCATGTACATGAAAGTTATTGCTTCATAAACAAAGAGTCAGAGAAGCCTCCTGTGAAGCCCCGTGTCAATCAGACAGCAAGTGCTCTTCATGTAGCTCTCCATAGCATACAACGTCACCTTCAGGTTGGAATTTTGAGAGTACAGTCTCTTCAAAAGGAAAAATACAAATGGTCAGAGTCTAAGGGAGATCATGAACCTAAAGCCAAGCATTCATTCCCTGCAAATTTAGAGGTAGCATTTCAATGGCTAAAAAGTGATCTTGATTCAGCATTAACTTGTTGGCAGGAGGGAGAAGCATTCTTTAGCAAACTTCTAGGTAAGGAACCTACTGTAAATCAGAACAGAGATTCTTTTGACACCATGAGTGATGAAAGTTTGGAAGAATCACATGATCTTTGTGCACTGGAACTGAAAGAGGATGTTGAAGAGGTTGATAAGGTGTATGAAGCTTTTTCTGATCCTTATGAAGAAGTTGCCATTGGCCACCAAACTCCAAATGTTGAGGATGTCAAAAAAGAGCTGAGAGAAGCAAGGGAAAACAAGCGACTGTTACAAGAACTCAAGACTGTTTTGCTTTCAAAGGCAAAGGATCCACTCATTGGCACTTCAGGATTTGTGCAACCTGCAGTGAAACAACCCATCAACACTGTAAGCAAAACATGGCCTTGTGATGGCCCAGGTGGAATTAGTATGCAGAAAGAAGAGACAAAAAACTGCTTCAATTTTAATGACTCTAGTCCTCAAAAATGGCTGTCCTCAAATGAGGTACACAATCAGCTGTCTGCTCTGCACGCAAATGAGCATCCTAATGGGCACCCCATGCTGTTGGGAACTTTCCCTTCAGTGGCTGTTTCAGTTGCTGCTGCAGCAGCTGCACATGGCAAAGCTATGGGACTGAATGAGGATACCTTTTGTAGTGAAGATACCGAATAAAAAAAACTTCCAATCAGTACAATTGGCCATTAAACCACTAAGAAACCTGTTGTTTGGGGGAAGTTTGCTTTAGAAAGCATATAATTTTTGTCTCTCCTCTCAACAGTGAATAATTTTAATTATGATATCAACCTCCGAGATTCCAGAAAGTAACCTATAACTGTTTTTAAATTTGTCTTCAAGTGAAGTGGTGGCTATTTGTAAGATGATAAAGTCTCATTCTGTTTTCATCTATTTCTGGGTGATCCATTCAAACTAATAGGAACTACAAAGAAATGCACTTTAAGTAAGGATCAGCCCAGTAGTTGTTTGTGAACCATACTGGTTGAGACTATTTGATGGGTGCACAGCCAGATCACTGAGTGGAGAAGTTTTGACTCCTCTAGCATCATTTCTGTCATTTACCTTAATACGTGTGCTTACACTGAAAATGAAGATTAATGTTCCACAATGACTATGCCAAAATGAAATTACTTTTAACTGAAACAAAAACCCAGTTGACACTCCTTCAAAAAGAGTCCATGGTCCAGTAAACGCTCTTCAATTTGGCCAAATGTTGAGCCTGCTGACACTTTGTAAAGGAAATAGGTTAACCCTTTATCCCCTAACAGCGACTAGCATCTAATTTTTCCCTACAATGTCCCCCCTGAATCACACATTGAGGTCATGAGAATAAAGAAAACAATCAACAACTAAAGATGCTCTTGACTGATAAACAAATTCTCCTTATCAGCACCTCAGGAAGTCTATAGAGAAAAGTATGGAGAATATGCACACTC